ACTCGGGCTGCGCGGACACCAGCGCCCCAAAGCCCGCGGGGAGCCGGGGGGGCCCGGACGGGAGGAAGAGCGGAGCGCCGGGGCAGCCCGCGGGACTGGCACTTACCGGGCCCCTCAACCCCCAGACTTTGCAGCAGCAGCTGGAAGAGGAGGAGGAAGCAGGGGGCCGAGACGAGGGAGGGCATGAACAGCAGGACGTGCCCCTGGGCGAAGAGCCGGAGCCCAGGACCCGCGTCGGGGCCGCGGACGAACTGGTCTTGGACGTGCTGGGTCAGAGGCGCCCAATCCCCGCCAAGAGACAAGTCTTCTGCTCCGTGTTCTGCGTGGAGAACGACCTGCCCGAGGCCCCCACCGCGGAGCAGCCCTCGCCACCCGCATCTTCACCTCGGGCTCCGCCGGTGACGAACGTTCCCAGCACCCCCACCTCCTTCCCCAGCCCCCGGCTGTCCCTCCCGACGGACCCCTTGTCCCCCGACGGCGGCAGCATCGAGCTGGAGTTCTACCTGGCGCCCGAGCCATTCTCCGTGCCCAGCCTGTTGGGAGCTCCACCCTACTCTGACCTGGGTGGGGTAGGGGATCCCTATGTGCCCCTCATGGTGCTGATGTGCCGGGTGTGCCTGGAAGACAAGCCCATCAAGCCCTTGCCCTGCTGCAAGAAGGCCGTGTGCGAGGAGTGCCTCAAAGTCTACCTGAGCTCCCAGGTAACTCTACCCCCACTCTGTCCCCTCTTGTGTTCAGGCCCCTGGCGAGGCGGTCCTCCACCAGCTCGCCAACTCCGGGTTCACAGGAAGAGGTGATGAGACAATTCTACCAACGACCTCTGACAGTTTCTCACATCTCAGTTGTTGTCGGTGTAATTATTATTGAAGTGTGTTTGACCTCACGGCTAACTTGACTGGAATTTAACCCTGCAGGAGTTTCAGGCTTTAAGTTGGCAACCGTGGAGGGAACAGGCTACAGTGAATTGTCCTCTGCTTATTTCTTTTACTAAATTGCAAGCCAGAGCTCGCTCAAAAAGGAGGACAATGAAAATGCCTCATAGGCCTAGTATCCCCGAAACTAACAAATAGTGGGCACAAAACACTGTAAGTATGTATTAAGTTGGTGAAGAGAAACGTTGGAATTGTTGGAATTAGTATTTCAGGTCCATGATGCCTGAATTTTAAATTGTGCTCCATTTATGTATTCCAGAAAAGTTTTATTTATTTTTTCATTCATTTATTCATTCATTCATTCATTTATTCATTCCTTGGCCCATGCCCACTTAGCATTTTTCTTATTCCACAGTAAAGTTGAAGTACTTTTCCTCACTGAAGTTTTATGCCAGCACAGTACTTTATTTCTTTAAGAGGGAACAAAACAGACCAAAACAAAGGAAAGCGAGGCTAAGAGGCTTAACAAAACAAGCAGTGGTGAAACTTTCTTCCTCGGCTCCTTATTTGAAAGCTTGTTTTTTTTCTTGGAAAGCTTAAGCGTGCAATAGACCAGCTTTCCTTCACTGATGGTGAATGAGTTCTTCCAGTAGTTTTCAAGCTGTTATGTTTCTGCCAGTGTTTTGCACAATCTGGAATGCCCTTTGATCCCATGTCTGATTGTCCTAGGCCTATTCATCTTTCAAAACCCTTGGCCGTTCAGGTGCCAACTCTTTTTGGGAAGCCTTTCCTCACCTTCCGGGCCGCTGCTTATATACTTTCAAAATACTTCTGTGTGCCTTGCAGGCACTGAAGTTCCTTATGTGTCTGTTTGTTTTGCCAGACTGTATGGGCAATGTCTTGTAGTCCTTGTGTTTGATAGTTTTATGCTGAGTCCCTTTCCAGTAATAGTGTTTAATAACATTGGCTGAAGTGAACTGAACAGGATTCCACACAGTGTGGTTCCTGTGTGTTTTGTGGCTAATCCATGCTGGTGTCTAGACTGAAAGTGTGTACTGTGCCCAACCAAAAAATGCAAAGGGAAACTTAAACAGAATGGAATGTTACACAAACAGTAAGTTAGCCAAGATGGTTGAGATTATCCAAACGCCTGCAAGAGACTGATGTCTCTTTTATGCTGTATCCACAAACAGATACTTAAAACAGGAGGAATGTCTGCTCTCATGTGGTAGTTTCTATGACATCATCGGCAAACAGATATTGGTGCCATCCATGTGCAGATCCCTGTGGTGGGATTCAGACATTCCCCAAATATGGGCCCTGCTCCAAGGGAGTCACTGTGAGAGCAGATGTGTATGCAAGAGCAATACACGGTAGCATATAATGAGATGTAAACAGAGTAACAATACCAGGTATACTTAAAGGCTGGATACAGATGCTGTGGGTTTAGAAGTTCAAGGAGGGTAGCTGGTGTGGGTTGAGGTATTCTGCATTAGTTTGATTTTCTTAAGGTGGGCCCTTTTCCCAAAGCATATATATATATATATATGTATATATATGTATATGTATATATATATAAATCTCCATAAGTTTGTTGTAGGCAGTCAATATTTTGATCTGTAATGGAGAAGAGAAGGAATGGGGAGTGGAAGGGTGGCAGGGTGAGCGCAGTGTCATTAATACACAAACACTAGAAACTTCTCTCAAGTGACATAGTATCTGAAACTTGTTTGTAGTAATTATGGGTGTTATGTATGTCCCTGATTTTCTTCCAAAGTATTGGACAGACCTTTCAGTAAAGAAAAGCCTACTTTATTTAAAATATTAAACAGGAAAAATGAGTCCCGCAGGCCAGGCAAGCTTCTACCCCAGGGCTTTTGCATATGTTGTTCCTTTTGCCTGGAATAGCCCCCTAGATACCATTCCCTTTGCTTGCCTACTCCTCTCACTCCTCTCTTTCAGATCTGTATGCAAATGCCATCCAAATGGCCTTCACTGACCACTCTTTTTCAAGTTTAGCCTCACCCCACTCTCTTATACTTATGTAATTTGTTTCCACGAAGACAGGAATTGTCCCATGATGTGTTCATGCTGTGTCTTTAGCACCTAGAATACTGTTGGACATATGGTAGAGGCTCAGCTAATAGTTACCAAATTTTTGAAGAGCTGAGTGACCAAGAGAGGATGAGATTACCCCCAGTAACCATTGCCAGAAAGTGGTATTCTACTTGCGTGCTAAATTCTACTGTGAGCATCAAGTTAAAGGCAAAAGACAAAGTCTTAAAGCAGACAAAAATAACAGGTTTACTAAGTTTGCTATGAAAGTTAGAATTAAAGATTTTTTAGATGAACTTTTAGCTTCTATGCAAATGGAATTTTTTACCAATTGGATAAAAATACATACAGGCTTGTGGTTGTAATATTTCTGGTCTGTGTTAATTCTAAGGTCATTTCTATTCAAAGGGTCTATGTTTCCATGTCACTTAACCTCTCTATGCCTTAATTTCCTCATCAATGAAATAGAATTGCAGACCGTGACCTGTAATGACATGCCAGTTCTGAAGCAAAACCAAATCAAACTGCAGAGTTATTTTGTTGCCTTACTGAGCTAGATCAAAAGGGCACACTGAGTGCTTTCTTTCTCCTTTTATAAGCTTTCATGGGTTTGACAGAGTAAAATCTGTTAAACCCGAATTTGCAGGGCTCTTAAGACCTTTTAAAATAAAATGATGCATTTGAAATAAAAAGTTATTAGTGATATTTTTCACTTGTTTTTGAGTTTGTGTCAAATAGTGCATTATTTGACATCACTTAAGAAAATAAAGGTGATTTTCTATTAAGCATTTTATACACACATTAAAAATACATACTAAATGTGAGTTGGAATATTGCCTGGTTAAATTAATGTTCTTCTAAAAAGGGAGGCTGAGTTCTTTGAAAGAAGGTATGAACTTGGAAGGTGGGAACAAGGATTTTTAGATGGTAAGTCTTATTTCCATTAATGCCCTGGACTGCATGTGTAATGAAGGCGGATGAGTAGTTGTGGTCATTATTTCAGTACAGAGAAAGCAGATTAGGCCATGACTTAAATACCTGCATACTGTGCTTTCTAAATAATAGTTTTATTTCTTGAAACATAATATTCTTCTCCAGTCATCACCATGACTGGGGCTGCGGGGAGCCCCTCTTAGTGGAATGACTTTACAGTTCAGTGTGTACCACCCAATTTTCAATTGCCATGGTGAAGGGTTGAACTGATAAATTATAATCTTTGCCACTGCATAGGTGTTGGCTTAAGGGCTGTAGAACACATGACAGATACAGTGGAAGTTACACTAGTGTATGTTGCCTGGGTCCATAAGTCGTTGATACATACATTTTAGAAGCATTTCCCAGTGGCCTATGTATGCATGTCTGACCATGCCTAAAGCACACAGTCCGGGGATGTCTGCAGGTCACTGAGCCATTGTAAATGTTAACCTCCTCAGCTGGTTTGGCCTCTACCACATCTTCCTAGGAGGCAAGATTGTTGCCTTCTTTTGTTTCAGAGAACGATATTGCACTTATTTCAGAAATCCTCCGTTGATATCTTTCCTTCATGGTTTTGGTTTCAGACAGTAAAATTTATTATAATATGAAGTGTTACTATTTAGCACTTTAGATAAAGAGAGCATTGGGTATGCTAAGGACTGTCTAAAGGTAACAGCTGTTGTGGCTTTCATCACTCTGCTTCAAAGAGCTCCCAACTGGCAGGTGCATGTGAGTTGGAATGTACACACCTGTCAGATGAGTATTAATAGAGACAAGCAACATATTTCTTCTACAGATTGTGAACAAAGCAGCTGTTAGATGGTGATGTCTTAAAATGACAGTCTACTATAGTCACCCTAGAATCGGTGACCTAAGGGTGACATCTTATGTATCCTATTATTAAACTCTGAGTCATGCAGACTTGTATGGGTACAAGTGTAACCTACTTTTTTCCCTTTAAATCTTAAACCAACCTGTGTATTTTTAGAAGCTAATGTGTTCAATGTGGAGTTTGAACACAGCCATCTTCGCACAGGTGAATTTTTGGATCCTGTCATGCCAGGTGTGATTTTGATAGTCCTGAAAATGTGAAGAATAATGAGACTGGGATACATTTCATTTCTCTACAGGTTTGAAAAGTGAGAGTGAAGGAATATGTAAACTTATTATTTTGTGCCCAGAATTTGCATGTGTGTGCTCACACGTGTATTTGAAGGGTGCGATAACATTTGCTTTCACACCTTACTGACTCATGCCCTTATTTCTCTCTTCTGCCTCTTTAATAATATGTCTCTAATAATTTCTTCATATCTCCTTCATAATCTCTTTTTTCTTTTACCTTTCAAAATCTGATTTTAACGGACATTTGATTTCTGCGGACGAAATACCCTGTTGAGGGCTGAGGTCTGAACCAGCAGAACCTCGTCCGTGTGTTGCCTGGGTGTTTCCCTTCCGTCTCTTCCAGCTGTCTAGAGATGAGGCTACGAAGAAAAACCCGGCATTGTGCTCCACTGCCTAAGAGATCTCAAATAACATGACAAGTAGTACTACTTATCCAAGGCGTCAATTGTAACCTTTAGAGTGGTGATTTTCTTTCCTTCTAGAGCAGAGCTCAGCTTTTATACTGGAAGGCTCTTCCTTACTCCCCCCTTTTTTTTTTTAATGTTTATTTATTTTTGAGGGAGAGAGAGACAGAGAGAGAGAGAGAGAGAGAGAGAGTGCAAGGAGGGGAGGGCAGAGAGAGGGGGGAGTCACAGAATCCAAAGCAGGCTCCAGGCTCTGAGCTATCAGCACAGACC